GCAAGTTTACAATTGGTGAAAGATATTTAAATCTTAAATTAAGTTATGTAACCAAATTAAATTATTTAAAATTGTTAATATAAAAACATATTAACTTTAACTGAAATAAGTTTGTGACAAAATGTCAAAATATCTAAGTTACAACAACATCAAAAGTTATTTTACAATATTATTATGACTAAGTTTATTATTATTATTATATAAACAATGCTTTATTAAGTTATGAAAGTATTTCAAAATATTTAATTTAATTTTTTCAAAGAGTGTTGAATTATTTTAAGTTTATGTTATTATTTATAAAAGTTAAACTTTATTGTTTATGTTTTATTTAAACAATACTAACTCAAAACAAGTTGTGGAACAGTTATATTTATCATTAAGAAACTTGTATGAATTTCAAATAATGTTCACAAAACATTTTAAAAATTATCAAAACGTTCGAAAAAAAAGTCCTAATTTTTTATATATATATAGCAAAAAGCTTTGTAAATTTGCATATTCAAATGTAAATAACACAAACAATAACACAATGATCATAGTTAACAAGGTAATAAAAGTTTAAGTTATATGCAATATGCATCAATTGGTATAAACCAAATAATTGTTAAAGAGTTGAAGTAAATTCTAAGAAATTTGCATGTGCAAAATACTAAATTAACATACAAAAGTAGTTAATATTATGTGATGCATCACTACAGACGTATATAGAACATTTCAAATATGAAATAAAGTTCAAAACAAGTAGTTAAATGAAAAGTTAATATTAACACGAACCATCCAAAACATTAAGTTAAATTGTAATTATATTACAAACAAAATCTATGTTTATGTATCAAAATTCAAGTACAAAAGTTATATTATATCACAAATGTAATAATAAAGATTACAAACAACCAGACAAGACTACTATTATAGGTACAAAATGAGATGGATTGCATAAACCAAGTCCCTGTGCGCTGGCGTCAATTGTAAAAGAAAAAAAATAAGTTTTTGATATGGACAGACCGAAATCAATTAAAAAAGAATATTCGGGCGCCTGGACTGTACCTTCATTATTAGCCGGGAAACATCGTAATTTGAATAAGATATCCAAATAAAAATCCATATAAAAAAAACGCTTTTCGCTGAAAACAAACATTCCTCAGATTAGCACATGGCTCACAACAAAGGAAAAAATGTAAATCTAAGGAAATCTCTAAGGTTCTTACCGTTTTTTCAATCAAATTAAGTTTAAAGTATGGTCATCGCCATTTTGTATGAATGATGTAAAATGTTTCATCTGAAAACGAAATGAATCCTAATGTAAATCATTGAAATATATGAATTAAAACACTTTTCGAATTTGGAAAAACACTTACCATTAAAAAATAATAATATTAGTATGAATTACTTTGTAATTCATTCGGATTAGCCGCGAGGCATTTCGCTCTCGGTAAAATCGCGACGTGAAGTGAAGTGACAGTAGTGACATTAGTGACATTAGTCTTTTCTCAAATGTGTTTTCTCTCGCCGGTAGGCAAAGAGAACAACGTCCATTCAGCCTACTGCTTGATAAAGTTAGCAACATAATTATCCAAAAGTGCACAGATTACAGAAAATGGGCGCGAGATAAAAACGACCAGAGAGACAACCAAAAAAAATCTTCTATCTCGCTCTTCGAGCGAAGGAGATCCATGTTTTTTTTTTTTTTTTTTAACAAGCATGCGGCCCGCCTGATGGTAAGCGGTTACCGCAGCCTATAGACGTTTGCAACACCAGAGGTGTTACTTCCGCGTTGCCGACCCTGCAAAAACCTTTTTATACCTTTCTTGAAGAACCCCATACTGTAGTCTCTAGGGAACACCGATACAGGAAGCTCGTTCCACAACCTCAGCGTGCGTGGGAGAAAGTGCCTCTGAAAGCGCACTGTACGCGACCAGTGTGGTTCCAAAGTATGTGGATGAACTCCCTGCCGATGACGAGCGGTGCGATGGTAAAATGACGCCGTCGGCATCATGTCAAACAATTCTTCTGAACACATCCCATTGTACAAGCGGTAGAACACTCATAAAGATGCAAAGTCTCTTCTAAGACTTAAGGGTTCTATACTATTGCTATATAGCAACAGTCTATGCTGTGCAGTGAAGTACTGCTTCGCCCTGTTGAGGACGCCGAGCTTTTTAGATGCCAACTTGACCTTATCCTCTAAGTGAGTTCGGAACTGCACGTCACTGGAGATGTCGACACCAAGGATCCCAATGCTTTTAGTAATATTAAGAGATGTGTTCAGAAATTTAGGGACTACAGTAAAAGGGGTTTTCTTAGCGGTGAACGCGCAAACTTGTGTCTTCAAAGGGTTAAATTGAACCAGGTTACTATCACCCCACTCGGAGACTCTGGTCAAAATGCTCTCGACTTCAGACACAAGTATTTCACGATTTTCTTCCACCTTGGAACGAGGGATATTAGCGCGGCCGGAATAGCAGGTGTCCCCAGTACTGTCATCTGCATAACAATGAACACCGTCAATTGACAGCATATCATTGATATGCAGTAGAAATAAAGTAGGGGACAACACCGAGCCTTGCGGGACGCCAGCATTAATTTCCATGCTATTGGAGCAACTACCATCAACTACGGCTTTTATGCGTCAGTTGGAAAGAAAGCTAGCAACCCATTCGCATAGACCCTCGGGCAGTCCGTATGAAGGTAACTTCGATAGAAGACTACGATGCCAGACCCGGTCGAACGCCTTCGCTATATCAAGACTTACAGCCAGTGCCTCACCTTGACTCTCAACGGCTTCAGCCCATCGGTGCGTTAGATACACTAGAAGGTCACCAGTTGAGCGACCGTGACGGAAACCGTATTGGCGGTCACTGATAAGTTCGTGCTCTTCTAGGTATCTAAGGAGCTGTGAATTAATCACTCGCTCCATAACCTTGGAGAGAAGGGAGGTGATAGCTATTGGCCTGTAATTCGACGGGTCGGATTTGTCGCCCTTTTTTGGCACAGGATGCACATGGGCCATCTTCCACGAAGTTGGAACTTTCCTAGAGGCGTAAGAAATCGCGAAAAGGCGCGTTAATACTGGACACAATTCAGGGGCACACCGCTTGAGCACCACCGCAGGAATGCCGTCTGGTCCACTCGACTTCTGAATATCAAGAGAGAGTAATTCCCGCCGGACTCCACGTTGAGTAAAAGTAATATCCGGCATGGAATAACCACACCACGGGATATTAGGTGGTTCGGCGCCTCCGTCATTCATTGTCGAGTTTGAGGCAAAGAGATTACCCAATAGATCGGCTTTCTCCTTTGCGCTGTGGACCAGGTTACCATCAGACCCACGGAGGGGTGGTAATGACGACTGACAAAAATTCCCTTCTGCAGCTTTTGCAAGCGACCAGAATGCTCGACTTCCAGCAGGATGTTTAGCGAGCCGCTCGCCAACTCTGCTAACAAAATCGAATTGTGTTTTGTGATGTGACGTTTTTAACACGTTACAATATGTACATTCAAATAAGGAGAGGTGCTTTTCTTTTAAATTACTGTATAACTTACTTAGCAGTAGGTATATTATTACATTAAAGGTAAGAAGGTACTAAATATTTTTTTCCTGATTTGAAGGTATGTCGGATGACGAAGACGTTAAACGCAAAATCAAAGATTAAGTCAAGGAGCTCAAAGATATTGAGAATAAAGATCTTATTACCGCTGAATCAAGTTATTTAACGCACAGGTAATTTTCAATATACTTATTTGCGCCATATTTTATACTTGTACATAGACTTGGCTAGCTAACCTAATTATACTTTTATAATTCCAGATGTTAGTGTAAATACAATGAGAAGAATAAAAAAGGAAGGTTCTTTAAACCAGGGTAAATGGAACACACCAGGAAAAAAACGCCCTCGTCAACCCCGTGTTTCAAACTTAGATGATTTTGACATATTTCGTAACATCCGGAGTAAAATAAATGAATTTTATTGTGTTAAAAAGCAAGTTCCAACCATAAAAACCCTATTAGAAGAACTGCGAGTATCCATTGGATTCATAGGATCCCGTGAAACATTAAGACAAATATTGTTAAAAAATGGTTTTGAATTCAAGAGCAATAAAAGCGAACGGTCTCTTCTAATTGAAAGTTTTAGAATTTCGGCTTGGAGACACCAATACCTCAGAACTATTGATCAGCGGCAAGAGGGAAACACAATAATTTATTTAGATGAAACGTATGTACATCAAAATTATAGATTGGAAGAAATGTACAGATCATGTAATTAATGTTGAAAATGAATATAAAGTTAAAGACCGAATAACAGAAGAGCAACTTGAACCATTTCTCGTCAGGGTTTGTGATGATGAAAGTGAAAGTGATAAATCATCTGAAGGCATTGAATTTCTAGAGTCAGATTTTGATTATGGTTCAGAATAAATAAATGTTTTTTTATTCATTTTGTGTGTATCCGTTTTTAATGTATTAATAAGGTGGAACGACTGGCATGCTAGCGCCGCTTAAAAATAAAGGTATTCCACTTGATTATAATTTATTTTTCAAGACACTAAAAAGAATAATATTTTTAAATTGATAATGTGTTTTCATAGAAACATATATCACTTGTTTAGTTTTTTATTTCTTAAAAACTTTAATGAATTTTTTGTTGGTTGGCGGCGCTAGAGTACGGATTGTTCCACATTAGTGATCACCGTCATGTCTACACTGCAAGCCCTGGTGAATCAGGCATGAATGTCTCAGATAAATGACCAATTGAATCATTTGTTTATATGGTGCTATTCATAATAGATCTCTACATTATAATTTTGTTTTTCAAATACGTATCATAAAATATTGAAAAATTCAAGTATCAACATGATTTTTCTCACTATATTCAGGGTTAACATATGAGAGATTTTTAAATTTACCACCACGAGCTTGTGCCACGATTCGCTTGTCGGACTCTAATATAACGGTTAAAAGGTTGTTAATCATGAAGATTCAAAGTACAAAAGCGTCATACCATCGCAAAGTTTCTCCATTTGCGTCACGATCACTGGTATAGCAGTTGATACTTTTCTGACTAGAGCTTCTGCAGCGATTACGCGAGGTTCTTGAGTTACATTATGACGCGCTTTGCGTTTGCCATCTTGGCAGCTATTCAGTATGTACTTGTCTTTATCAGAGTTTTTCAAACTGAACAGAATCGGTAGTGTGTGATGAGGGTGTTCTATTGCACATCGACCTAAAAAGAGAATCTTAATGTACTGCCAATGGTAATAGGCTATTAGTTATAGCCTATATAATTAGTAATAGCCTATAAAATATATAGGCTATAATAGCCGGAAATCAAACAAGTGGCTGACCTGTAGACGTTTGTACTTATGGATGTATTTATACTTAATACAGATGGAGTATAACCATATTAGTGAGTATAACCCCCTTACTTAAATGGCTCTCAGAAATTTATTTACTGCACGATTAAAACACTATAGGTTATTCCTTTTTCTTGTTACTTTCAAATGGTCTCACGACATGTAATTTAAGAATCAAATCGCCTTTATTAACATTGCAATAAGAGCGAAAAGTGAAGTTCCTAAAACGTCAACTGTCAAAAATATTTTGATATAAGTTTCAGAAAGGTTATTATATTATTACAAAATTTGCCATACTTAATATGCGTCTGAGGTTTTTAGCGAATGCTGTGTCTTCCTCGCTCAGCCTCGGCGCCAACTGAGGTAGAACTGTGATAAACTTGTGCGAGGGTATTCTATGCAGCAACTCCTCGAAAGTACCACTTTCTGACGAGTCCAGCTGCAAACTAGGATTGTCTACCCACAGTGATATCACACGGAAAACGGATAAGTCGTTCTCTTCGCATTCTTGCAACGAAAGCAAGTAGTATCTATAACAAGATTTGAGAAATGAATTTATTAAGAGTATAGTAAGTGTTTAGGAGAGCATAAAATTTTACGGCAGCTTGATAAGAGTTAATCTTTCATGAGATAGCAGTATGTGTTTTTCGATGAAAACAATACCACGATAAATTTAATTTAATTAAAAATATATAAATAATAATAAGGTAATAACTTTGCACACTCACCTCATCGCTAAATGCAGGAATGTCTGTTTTTCGGCTTTCGTGCTGGCTATCTCTGCTTCTTCCAGCTGCTCGAACCTTTGATTTGTAAGCAATGATTTCCTCTCATCTCTATTTAAATAAAATAATAAAAAGTTAATAATAAGACTATTTCAAAAAAAATCAAAAGGAAATATGTTTACCTTGTCATCGTAGACGATTGGGTCAATTTCAATGAGGATGCGGTTTCTTTAATGTTTTCCAAACACTTGACTTTATGTTCAAATATTGAGGAATTCATATAAGTTACAACCTGAAAATGAAATAAATTTGAATTATTATAATCAACAAAATAAAGGACGACTTCGATGAGACATTATGGCTTAACCTGTTTGTACTCTGCGTCAGCAAATTTAGCAATGTCGAAATAAATCTTCTGTCTAGTCTTCAAGTCATCACCTCGTGTCAGTTCAAGGCTCCTTTTCAAATATTTGTTAATTATGTCGCGTGCATTGTCGGACTTCGATTCTGCCATCCATAAGCCATATTGCCTGGATTCAAAAAGATTGCCATTAAAAAGAAATAAATAGTTCTTACGCTCACACACGCGCATACTTTGGGGCTAGACACTATAACTGTAAGGTTTGGATTATGGGATGCTAAGATAATGGATAGAAATATATTTCCGGACACATCTATCGGGCCACTTAGTGTCATAAGTCTCAACGGCCTGTAGCAAAAATATATGTTCGTTTATGGTTGAGCAATAATTTTTAAAATACACGAGAAATGGTTAAATCAGTTTCTAAACTGCGTAGATAATAAGTTTATGCTTAATGTAATATTTCTCTTTAGCTAGGGACCGTCAAAACTTAAAAGGTAGGTGGGTAGTAGAAATGTACCTATATAAGGCACCATGACTTGGATCGAATCCAAAACTGTTGGAGCAGAAGGCAGGAACGCTGGAATTTTACCAATAAGGATGATGACTATTTTATTTTTTCTTCGTTTTTCAGGTAGATTATCAAAAAGTATTGGACACGTATTTTTTTCTTTTTTCACATAATATAAACATTGCAGAGATATATTGATTTCAAAAGTCGCATGACGTCACGTTTTGGTACAATTTTCACTTAAAAGTGACGTCACGATCCCCTACTCCCAAATTTGATGCGCTTTATCTTTGTCATTTTTTGGTTGATTGCCCAAAGAAAAAATACATGTCCATTATTTTTGAATCATCAAGCTGACGGTCTAAATAGAATTTCGTTTACTTTACCCCGTCATCATGCCTATTGGCTGCGAATTTTTATTAGTGTCTATTGACTTGTCGAATGTGAATTTCACCCACCTTAGCGACACGGCAGCCTGATGTAAGTCTGTTGATTGAGCACTACCAGCGCTAGAAACTACATTTCGTAGCAACGATAAAGCTATATCTTTGTGCCCTTTGGCCCAAGATATTTGGCTTTCTAACATAGTCACCTCTTTAGATGCTTGCAGCTTTTTCACAACTGCTAAAAGGCGTTGGGCCATTTGAATTCTTTGGTTGTTTAGACAGAGCTCTGAAACAGGTTTCGTATTGAAGTAATATCTATTGAACATAAAACTATATCAGCCGCTGTAAATTTTGGTCCTATCATAGACGTATGTACGGCATACTATTTGTGATATTTTAATCAGCCAAGACAAGCACTAGGCATTTTCCCCATTTAGAATTAGAAGCCGCCGCATTATATATTTGTAGATCCGGTAGTAGTATGTGTGGCAATGCAGAGAGCCATGGTAGAGGGGTAATCCTGATGAACCCAATGATAATTCGCATGCTTTAATTGAGCTGGGTATCGATCTTATTAGTAGGGGCACTACGACACCAAACAGGTGAAAGCAGAATTCGGCTACGGAATACACTGGGGAAAGTGCAGACTGTAGCCGAGGCCCCCCAGACGGTGCAATTGCGCTTTGTGCTAGGCCCTCTAGGTGTTGTTTGAAAGTTAGCGAACGGGCTAGTATGACACCCAGGTATTTTGGCGTAGGATTGTGTGGAACGGGCTACCCATAGTAAGAAACATTCAGTTTTTTGTTTGCAAGGCAGTTTATGAAATGAAAAGCTGCCCGATTTCTGTCTTCACTCAGAGCCACCAAGCGATGAAAGGTTTTTAGATCGTGACTTAAAGCAACAAAATACAATAGTGCATATTACTAGCGTTCTTTTTACGGAACACTAAGTTAATTTTTGAATTACCAACAGATATTATTAGAAAGTACATTAGTTTGCAATCTGTTTATAAATAGTATCGTAGTATACTCTGATATATCATCTTATATATCTTGAATATTTCGATGACAACTACTCAAAAATAAAAATAATTCTTGTCTTTACTCACCTTGAAACGCTCATCACAAAATTTATGTAAATTATAAAGCATACCCAGTTCAAATGTCTAAATCAATCAAGCTCCTAAGACAACAGACCGACAGAGGGACAACTCAGCTAACGTGTAACATAAACAATACAATTCAAAATTTTCTACATTCTTTAATTTATTCTTGTTTATATAATGATCCGTATATCAAATGGTAGTAACAAATAGGTTAATAGGAAAATCAATAAAATAAAAACTAAGTCAGGATGTGGTACTGATGATATACATGTCAGCCTCTGGTATGCTTTTAAACCATTAGGTTTTATGAAAAGTAATAATTTACCAAAACCAGCTTAGGAGCAGCGATAAAATATATTTAAGTGATCTTTTCAAATTTTAAAACTTAGTTTAAAAATTTCGAGATGAGCAGGATTTGAACCCACCCCACGACCTCTCCGTAGGATGCGTACACACATGAAATAAAGTTCTTCAGCATCTTCACTTTCCATTGCCCCAGCAGAATTTTATAGTAGATACTATTAAACCCTGAATTCAATTCCAATCGTATAAAGTATTCTCAAGTCTTGTATTCAACAAGTTTATCTGCAACATGTTTAAAACATGTCATCGTATTTGTGGACAACTAGAAGCGGAACTTGTCAATAACTCATTCACCGCAACCAACAAGTTTCATCCCAGTTCCTTATAGAACAAATTCTAGAGTGAGAACAAAAAACGAAAACATTGCATTAAACTTGTCAAATACATGTATGTATACCTAGTGAAAACGAGGGGTTAGGAATATCACAGAGTGGTCGTTCAAAAAGTCTTTTTAGAGTCTAATACTTACCCACATATCCCAATTGCAGTGGCACTATATCTTTCAACGCATTTCCATCACTCTTAGCTGAATATTCCAAAAGTAAATTACGTTGAGATATGACATCTTCTAAGTGCTTAAAATCCTGAAAAGCAGGCAAGTTCTCCGCTCGCCATTTTGATAGTAAATCACTTAGTGGTAATTTCTGGCATCTTACTGAGAAAAAATCTTCGATGTCGGTAAATAAATGCAATTTCGACAACACTTTGTAAACATTTTGACAGTTCTCCATATTCAATTGTTGGCATAGTTTCGCAACAGCAACTTTTGCTCTGCTCAAAGGTTGTACTAGCTTGTCTTGAAATTCGGGTTTCATTTGAATGTTGAGGCAGTCCTTCAGACAAGCGTAACGGAATGCTTTGAGTAAAGACTCTGTGTTGCGATTAGGGACAGTATGTTTCTCTTCTAAATCGCGTGTATCCACGAACTCACTCCAGTCACCTAAAATAAGTGTGTATACTGAAATTTTCTTTTTAGACATGAAGTGTAATAATATCAGAACTCTTGCCAATATTTTTGAAGCAAGCGCAAATAAGTTGTGACACAATTATGGGTTTACCTTTCTTTGGGATTTTCGTTGGCGAGTAAAATTCTAGTGTTATAAGAGTATATTTAATACATTATCACCTACCAAGGAACGATAGACATTCATATTTGATGTCGTTGAGTTGCTCGCTCTCCGGCAGCGATTTGATATACTGCAATGCCAAGTGATGCATGCCAGATTTATGTAGCGAGCGCAATACACCGCGACGTAACGTAGGTTCGTCTTTCCCACTGGACAACGCAATATCGTGCAACAGTAACGCATCTGAGTACTGCCCAGTATTAGTCAGATGTTTTCGTTTCTCATCCTCTATGGTTAAATGCGCCGTTCCACAACCGTCCACCGCGTCCAACTCGCCGATTGATACGAAACTCTAAATTAATGAAGCGACATAAGTGTTAATACGATATTGAAAATAAAATGCGGCTAAATTTGTTGGTATACTACAATTTCGTGATCGTGATAAAATATAATGGGTTTGTTAAATGAGGTTAACAGAGATTAGCCGGAACAAAAAACATGTAGTAAAAAGCGGTTATTTCAATATTACAAACAGACACTCCAATTTTAGGTATATGTATAGATAGATAAGGCGTTACAACTTCTACATAATTTTTAAACCGAAGTAATTTATGAGACTTAATATATTGGGATCGGAGGCTAATTGTGTAACTAGCACTCCTGACACAATCCATTTTATTTCATACATGGTGTACAAAACGACCAAGATAACAACGAAACAGTGCAATATATACGTCAAAAATAATCAATAGTGTAAACAGTTTCCACATGAATCCTCATATGATTTTTTGTGTGATATTTGTAGGTTCATAATGTCGAATCATGTGTTATTTAATAGAATAAGTCGAAATTTTTCAGTTAATGAGGAAGAAAATAAAATAACCTTTCTCAATATCCTCTGCAGGTCTCCGCCGCCGTCGAGGGCGGTGGTCGCTTCAGGCGAGGAAGGAGGCACTCCATCGTTCATGGTCGTCGTCCACAGCTCGCCGTAATAAATCGCCGACAAGTTTTGGTCCACCACTGTCGCAGCCCAAGCCACTTTATCGTAGTCCAGTTTCAAATAGTTTAATACCTCTAAACGCATTGATCTGAAGACGGTATAATTTAACTGACTTTTTTGCATCAACTTAATAGGAACGGAGGAGAAGGAGATGGCGCAAGTGGTTAGCGCGTTCGATTTTCGATCGTGGAAGTGAAAAATTATTTATACTAAACCTGCTCGAAAAGTGTGTTAAATAATTAATTCTTGTGTTAAATATAAAGCAGAAACGACCTCATTACTGTTGTACTACTAAACGGGCTGAAAATTTGTATGGAAATCCATTTTCAACTCGCTGAGCGGACAGAAGAGTCTATGGAAATTCATTGTTAACATGCTGTTTTTTTATTTATGTTCCAAAAAGTGGTCTGTAAGATTTTGCAGACTTTGCAGTCTATTTTTTTAACATGTTTTCTTTGTGAATTAACTTTGAAAAAGAACAAATAGTAAGAAGCGCGCTGATTTTACTATTTTAACTGAGTTTTAATTTGTTATTCTATCTACTCGGGATGGCGTATATTATTGATAATGAATGAATTTATTGACACCTCCAGAATTAAATGAAACTTTGTATCTTCGTAGTCATTGGGACCTTTACCCGTGAAATCAAGAAATCAATATAAAGCTACAACTTTACTATAAACTAGCTTTTGCCCGCGACTTCGTCCGCGTTTTCGTCGTTTTTCGTAAAAAAGTAGCATATGCCCTTCCTCAGGATTCAGTAGTTTCGATGTGACAGACATATTAACTTTCGTATTTTAGTAGGGAAATATAATATGTCAGTCCAGATAATGTATGCCGTTCGCGGTCAGCTGTGAAACGTAATGCCCTCTCATTGTAGGTGTCGAACTCGCGAGATAATGTATGCCGTTCGCGGTCAGCTGTGAGAAGTAATTCCCTCTCAGTGTAGATTTCGGATTTGCGAGATAATGTATGCCGTTCGCGGTCAGCTGTGAGACGTAATTCCCCCTCAGTGTAGGTTTCAGACTCGCGAGATAATGTATGCCGTTCGCGGTCAGCTGTGAGACGTAATTCTCGTTGTGCAGCAGTTTCAGCTTCTCGGGATAACGCATGTTGTTCTCGGTCAATGGTACGCCTTAGCTCTCGTTGAGAAGAACTTTGAGACGTCCGTGATGTAGCTCGTCTTGCTCTGTCAGCTGCTAATCGCATCTCTCTTGGAGAGTTTTCATTGGCTCGAGAAGTAGAGGCTCTAACTCTCATAGAGTTTAACCGATTTGCTGTTTCCTCTGCCGATTCTTGAGATCGCGTAATTCTCATTCTCTTAGCTTTACCCGAAGTTAGAATTAGAAAGAGAATTAATAGAAGCAAGAATAGAATTACTACTCAGGACATCGATGTTCCTGGAGATGCTTTGCCGATTTATATAAATGAGCACTTGACTGCCTACAATAAATACCTCCTTAAGAAATGTAAGGAAACAGCGAAGATTAAGGAATATCAATTCGTGTGGACAAAAAACGGCAAAATTTTCATGAGAAAAAACAGTACATCCCCTTCACTACTAATACTGGAAGAAGAGAACTTACTAAGAAAAATGATATGGGAAAATAACCGCGCTTGGTGACAAATTTTTATTTTTCTTAATTATCTTTTACTCTTTATTTAACTTTGTTTGTCTGAAGACTAATTTTACTCGTAAGTATTACGTTGAACAAAATTGTATACTACCAGTACTACTACATGTCATGTCTGTGCATTTTCTTTTATCTGTGGTAATGGCACACTTGATAATATTGCCACTGCGCGGGTCAATCCGACAGCGCATAATGATTGTTTTCGAACCCAAAATAATATTGTATAAACATGTAATAATTATTGTCGGTTTGGTGGATGTTCCTTTGTATTGTTTCTGGATTACGGATTGTAATAGTCACTATCCGAACATAGTAAAAAGCGTAAAAACACTACGTAAAACTACTTGTGATTACACTTGTAAAAAAAGTTTGTCTGACTCACCAGTTCGCTACTGGCGCAGACTCGATTGTAAGCGAGTGATTAGCGTACTCATCTCAATGAGGCAACTATTAGTTACTTATTGCCTGACACGTAATAATGACAATTTCATAATTAAATCCATAAGAAAAAATAATTACCACGGGTTATTCATTAATATAATTTACAATTTGCATTTTTATCAACAAACAGTTATTCACATACAATGTATCGCTAAGATGGCACCGAAATTAAAATTCGTTCTTAGTTTTATTATCAATTATACATTTTTGTACTTCGTCTATTACGTAATACATACAAACTTATACCAAATAGCACTAATTAATTGGCTTATTCTACAGCATAATCACACTTTTTTTTCTAAGTACCGCCAAGATAAAAGTAAACAAACATTCAAATCAATAGGTGTAATGCGCCCGAGAATGAATAGCAATGTTGTCACTATGAAAAGAGAAATGTCTCGTTTATACTTGATCATTATAAATTGGCTGAATGAATTTACGTTATTGTGCATATACATACATATTATACGTTTCTTACTACGTTATTTGACCGAAACTTTTATTTTATAGTTTTTTTTATCAAAAAATAATAATAACTTTAATCATCATTAATAATGGATAACAAAAACAAATCTGATCTGACGATATTTTATCAAAATGCACGCGGGCTCCGTACTAAGTGCTTACGGCTGCGACAGCAAATATTATGTAATGAATACGACATTATAATTATTACAGAAACCTGGTTGCATTCGGGAGTCTTTGACAGTGAACTCTGCGATACTCGATATGATGTATTTCGACACGACCGAGACTTAGTATCATCAGGCAAAAAAACGGGAGGCGGAGTTTTGATACTAGTCCGTAGTGAGTTGGGTGCAACTCAACACTCTTTTGGAGATTTACCACGACAGCAGGTCGAGATGGTGACAGTCTCCGTGCCTGCGCGGACTCTCGGCACCACAGCTGACCTATATCTGAGTGCAGTGTATGTCCCCCCCGATCCGGCGCGCATTCCGCGCGATATTGATGACGTCATAGATGCCGCGAAATTTATAACAGATAAGCCTCATTGCAATTATGTGGTGATCGGTGACTTTAACTTGCCGTGCATATCTTGGAATACAAACGGTCCCCTTTATATATGTACTGGTACTGTTGACGTGCAAAATGCTGGAAAATCATTAGTAAATAATTTAAGCTACTTAGGACTGAAACAATTTAATCTCATTAAAAATTACGCAGGCAACACGCTAGACTTAGCTTTCTCTAACGTAACACTAGAAGTTTCCGACAGCACAATCCCCCTTGTAAATCTTGACCGTGCTCACCCAGCCCTTGTAATAAAAATGTTAGATATAACAATCACACCATTAGTTGAAACAGCAACTCCGAGGCGCAACTTCAATAAATGTGATTATGAAGCGATAAATAAAGAGTTTCTAAGTACAAGCTGGCAGAGCCTTCACGTATCACACTCGGTGGAAGTTGCAACTCAAATATTTTATGAAACAGTCAACAAAAATATCGATAAACATGTTCCATTCAAAAAAGGACAGCATGGTCGCAAATACCCAGCATGGTACAGTCAGGCGCTAATAAATATTATTAAGGAAAAATCCAAGGCACATAAAAATTGGAAAAAATTCGGCAACCTTAGGGACTATGACGAATTCGCCCTCTTACGAAAACGTCAGCGACTAGTTCAAGCCGAATGTTTTAAAAACTTCACGCAATTAGCAGAAAAGTCAATTACTAAGCAACCGAAAGCTATATGGACATACGTCAAGTCTTTACGTGGTAAATCAAATTATCCTAAGGCACTATCTTTCCAAGATAAACTATACACCGACGGTAATAGCATCTGTAATGCATTTAATGACTTTTTTAGGAGTATTTTTGGCACGCCGAATTCGAATACACTGTTGGCTGAGGATAATAGTCGAAGCTGTGACACATTATCAAAACTATCGCTATCCGCTGACGCAGTCGAAAGAAAACTGAAGTCACTAGATGTATCTAAGGGTGCAGGGTGCGATGGCATCCCACCATTATTTTGGCGAAACTGCGCGCAGACCCTAAGTACTCCTGTATCTATATTATTTAACATGTCACTTAAACAGGGTATGTATCCTGACGTATGGAAGAAAGCATTAATTGTGCCGATACACAAAAAAGGAACCAAATCAAAAGTCGAGAACTATAGGGGAATTTCAATTTTAAATACTGTAGGAAAGGTTTTTGAAAAATTAGTGTACAACGAGATATACTGCGTTTTAATGAAAGCACTCCCAGAAACTCAACACGGATTTTTGAAACGAAGGTCCACAGTAACAAATTTAACCTGTTTTACAAACTATGTATTATCCAACATGGAAAGAGGCGGACAGGTAGACGTGATTTACACGGACTTCGAAAAAGCTTTCGATCGTGTGGATCACGTCATCCTAATTAATAAGCTCTATGCTATGGGGATACATGGGGACTTACTTAGGTGGATTAAATCTTATCTGCACAACCGCTCACAAGCAGTCGTGATTGGGGGCTTCAGGTCTGACTATATACTCATACCCACCGGTTTGCCGCAGGGATCACATTTAGCGCCGTTATTTTACAATGCCTTTGTGTCTGACATTACCGCTTGTTTCGCATCTGCACGCCATCTGATGTACGCAGACGATAAAAAGATATTCCTTAAAATTAACTCAGTAGACGATAGCAAAAACTTACAAGCAGATCTTGACAATTTACTTATTTACTATCAAAAAAATAACATATCAGTTAACACGGCCAAGTGTGAATGTATTAGTTTTACCCGTAGGAAAAATCCAGTTACGTACAATTATAATTTTAATGGAATCCCGATCCGTAGGACTACTGTTGTAAGAGACTTAGGGGTATATTTCGACTGTAAGATGCTGCTCAAAGACCACATTGACAAAATTGTAAACAAAGCATATAAAAACTTAGGCTTCGTTATGCGCACATGCAAACCATTTAACCACATTAAAACGCTCAAAATTGTATATTACGCTTACGTTCGCAGTATCTTAGAGTACGCCAGTCCGATATG